TTATTATTATTATTATTATTATTATTATTATTATTATTATTATTATTATTATTATTATTATGCAAACACATATTGTTTATCTTTATTTTTAAAATAAATATTAAAGGATTATATTTAAAATAATTGAAATGAAACAAAAAGATGCTTCGATTGAGATTAATGAAAGAGGCTAGAATTAATGTGTTTGTTTCTCTCCTTACTGAACATTTGGAATGGAAAAGGTAATAATAGAACTAAGTATGCATATATGAATGTATAATTGCTGTCATATTTGTATGTAAAGGTGATGACCCGGAAATATGTTGTCCACTAAAAAGAGATTTTTGTTTTTAATGTGAAAAACTGAATAAAATTTGTTAAAAAAGAAAGAAAGAAGCAGCTGCCTCTAGAAGTTGTGGGTGCTCCACTGCTGGACAGCCATTTGTTTGGAATGGTTTAGGATCTTCTACTCAGGAAGTGGGCTGGATTAGAAGACCTCCAAGGTGCCCCCTTCCAATCCTATTATTCTAGGTCTATGTCCTGCATAGCCTCACATTTGTCCAGCTTGGGGAGCACTTAGCCAGCCTCTCCCTTTCGGAGCAGCCGCTGCTGAGATGCTGTTCTTTCCTAACAAGCTCTGCTCTCGCTCTCTCCTTACAATAATTTTATTAGAATTTTAAAATAAAAATATAAACAATTAAAATAAGAAAAATACAGAAAATAAGATTTAAAAAGATATAAAATTATGACCTCTTGCCCTTTCCCCTTCCTCTTTGAGTCTTTGATAATCCCCAAATCCACTCTGCAACACTTTCCAAACAATGGGAAAGTTCTGAAGTTGATATTTTTGACTGCAAATACATGGAGTTTCAAGATGGCCGTGCCCAGGGAGGATGCCTACGGGGTGGGGGGGAGGGGGGAGCATGTAACGGGTCCATGCTCAGGGGCTCTACGAAAAGGAGACCGTCGTCCTTCCCCATTGGCAAGACTTCCAGAAGGAGGACTGAGGCCATGACTCTTGCAGTCCCATCCCCAGAGACCGTCTCCTGTGGCGGGCAAGTTGAGGGGAAGGAGGAGCCAGGGATAAGGAAAGGGCCCCGTGTGGTGGGAAAGTGCCTTACGGTTTTCAGCAGCGTCTGGTTGTCTCGGAGGGATCCCACCATGCCAATAAAAGAAACGGCAAAGATCGTGAGGCCCAGGAGGATGAGAATGACGGCTGGGGCCAGGAAGAGCCCTTCCAGGGTCCGGTGCTTCTGCCTTTCCACTTCGGCATAAATGCCCACGCAGAAGATGACAAGGCCGACCATCTGCAGGGGAGGGGAAGGAAAAGCAACTTAGACCCTCTCTGCCTCCCAGCCAAGGGGCGGCTGGGCAGGCTTTGGGCCTTCTGCTCCCGTCCAGCCAGCCAATGGAGCAGGTGGGGGGCGGGCAGGTGGCAAGGAAGGGTCTGCAGGGGTGACCTCTTGACATTTCTTGACCCAGCTTTTCTATCGGAGAGGCCAGGAAAAAGAATCTTCCAATATGAAAACAGGATCAACAATAATATTTCACAAGTTAAAATCAATGCATGAATGTCAAGCCAAAGGGCTACAGATCTGCATAAATTTTATCTTCCATCGTTTATCATGATGAGCTATAGACAGCCGATTGCTGTTTTCATTATTAAAATATCTTTTAAAGTAATTCCATACAGGAAAAGCACTTTTCTTCCTTATTTTTTTACCTGGTTTCCATTTGCTATTTATTGTTCTCAATATGGCAATAGACTGCACTGCATCAAATGAATTTTTCTTAGATGTCTACTCTAGATGTTTCCAATATTTTACTAAACTAGCAACTATTAATTAAAAATCTAACACAAGTATTGTTTCTCAAATGTATATTCTTACCAGAAAATAATGACCAAAGGCCTAATGTACTTTTTCTATGCTTTCGTTATGATGCAATTTTCTGAAATACCCTCAAATGGCTAATTTTGAGCAAGACCACACATAAAGGCAAATAAATAATTTAGTTCTGGCAACCCCTCCAGCATCAAAATATGCTTGCTTTAACTATAATTTTTTTTTCCTGGGCTATGCTGCTAATATTGGAAAATCTTTCATCATGATTTCTGCAAATTTGTGGAGAAGTTAGGAAATATGTTTTGCCAGGCTCATTTGTGAAAAACCTCTCTCTCTCTCTCTCTCTCTGTGTGTGTGTGTGTGTATCTGTGTATCCATGTATCCATCCATCCATCCATCTCATGGGACAATCATGACCTGGGTGCCTGAGAAGCTTGGAGGCAGCTGTGCCTATCAGGAAGTGGGCAGGAAATGTCTTGGTAAACAAATATCACCCACCCACCGCCTTCTAATCCACAAGCAGCAAGGCCACCCTAGCTATCCATTCTTCACATGACAGATCACAGGAAAGGACAGCAGTTTAATTCCACTTTAAAGGTCAGTTATTTCAAACCAAGCGGCAGCAAATACCTTATTAAAAAACAGCACCAGAGATCCTGTAAATGCCATCCGTTTCTCACAAGCTTTACTCAGAGAAAAGCAGCCGGGGGTGGCATCCCCTCAGTCCCCCACAGGCCCAGGGGCTGCTGCTGCTGCAGCAGCATCAATAGGAACAGCCTTTCTCCTGACAGCTTTCAACCACATCTGCTCTAAGCCATTCCAATGGAATACGAATAATCACACCACTCAGAAGACAAGCAACAGCTAATCAATAAATAAATAACACCAGAGCAATATGTACTACAAGCAACAAATAGCCATTTTGCTAGGAGCCAAATGAATGTCAGCTGGAGCAAAGTTATTATTCTGTTAAAATTTCCTTCCACAGAAATTAGGAATCAGTGTTTATGTAACTCAGAAAGGCATTTTTCTGAAATTGCTGGACACAATGATTAGTAAAGTAATGGCGCTGCAGCTTGCAGAAGAACAAAGAAAGCTCACAGATGACGAGTCGGAAGAGGGAAACAACAGCCCAGATGAATATGGAGAACAAGGACCATTGCCAAAGGATATAAAAGGATTTAAAATAGAGGCACTGACACCAGAGACAACAAATAAAAGAGATAAGGCTCCCAAGACTAAGAAGAAGGAATTATATAAGAAGAAACCCCAAAAAAGAGAACTGGAAAAGGTCGGGGAAAACATGGCTGACAGGCAGAGGGAAATAAAAATAATACCAGAAGGAAAAAAGAAGAAAGACCGGGGAAACTTAGAAAAGGGAAAGCTGGCTATAATTAAAAGAAATAATAAAGCCGAAAAAATTAGAGATAAGGGTTAGGGATCTATAAGGGGGATACCACAGGGGAATGTATATTGGTATTTAGTCTAAAACTTGCTGGGAAATATTTTAGCATTCTATAACTATAACTATAACTATAACTAAACTATAACTATAACTATAACTAAACTATAACTATATACATATACATATACATATACATATACATATACATATACATACATACATACATACATACATACATACATACATACATACA